ATTTTCAAAGAAATAGCTTAAATCCACTGGAGAATTCTAGAGCCAAATTTGAGAATGTCTGGAAAGAACGAAACTTGTCTTATGTTTTATTATAACAGTTGCCTCGAGGTAAATAAGATGGCGAAATGAAAAAGGAGTCAACACATTTTCGTCCTTTATTCTCTTATGCAATTTAATAACACACTATCCTCTCTACAAGTAAACAATGGACACAATCACAAGAGCACTTGTGACGCTATCTCATGAGTGCATTACATGTCGCGTGAAAATTCGTGGGCTACTTTGAACCTGTATTCTGCACGAGAACTTGGTTAGAAAATTAAATGCCAGAGGAAATTGTGCAGCATAAAACAAACAAAAAAAAATCTTGATACAAAAGAAAAAAATAACTGTATTTACTTTTAACTGTGACTCTAAATTTAATTGAGTTGTAAAAAGAAATATTCTCTCTATTTTTTTATCTTTCATTAATAATCATTCAATAAAAAAATTCTCACTCCATTAATTATGTAAAAAAGTGAAAAGTGATATTTTCTTGGAGGAAGTAATTAATAATTTTTGTTCAAGTACTTTTTTCATTCACTCTGAATATTTATTACATCTTTTATGTACTATTTTCTAAGAATTATCAAGTCCCATGACTCATCTCTCGACAAAGAGATTAATATTAAATTTTTATACGATTTTACTCACATGAATCAACGTAATTCAATGTCCCTCTCGTCTATAAATCTCCAAAAGTCTGAGCGAATTGGCAAATATGAATTAAACTCCCCTAGTTCGGCTAGAAAAATATTTTCTCACGCAGAAAAGGAGATATAAAAACTTAGTTAACGTTTTTACACTAGGGTCTGATATATATAAAGTATTCGCAAGTCTCCTGCTGTGCTTAGAGGTCTGAATTTTTCCTATCTAACTTTGTCGTCATATAGAATAGAAACTGCGCAGTGGCAGCATCAAGTACCACCGCCAATAATGGCCTAATAAATCTTGGAACCTTCGATATCTCTCTGTTTTCTAATCTTCAATCTCCACCCACTTTATGTCTAGCTTGTCTCTATGCCATGTCGGCTTTGATTTAAAGGAATTTCAATTGCAGATAGACAAATAAAAAATGACCGTTTAGTGGAGTGCAAGACTGATGCAATGTAAATTTAGAATAAATATAAAACATTGCCGATGGCCATTGAAACCTTTCATCTTGATGATTGAATAATATTGTTGATAGAGAGTTGATTTCACTGTGCTAACTGGTAATATCCTAACTGTGGGTGACAGCAAACGAGGAAGAAGTTTAAAATGAGGAATTTAAGTGGAAGTTTATGGAAATCCAAAACCTCTGAACGCAATGTGGTTTTGTGGTGGATGAACATGAACAGAAATAGTTGTATTACCACCCTTGGTTGCATACCCGATTGAGGACCATTTTATCGAGTAAAATAGCCATGTCGAGTTTCATTTATCGGACGACGACACGCAGTGCAGTTAACTCATGTTTGCTAGAGACTTGCCCCTTGTCGACGTCTCCCACGCTACCGGTACTTCACCTCATCGACGATGCATAATAAATTGCACTCTATGCGAGACCAGTCTGCTGGCGAAAGTGATTCGATATGGGCATTGAGAAAGGTGTAACGTATAGACATTTCCATAACGGGATTTTATTTCCATTTTCCCAAGACTCCCAGTCAGTGAACTCCTAGTAAAATCTCCAAGCGTTTCCCTGGCCCGATCAAGCGGACGAATAAAAAAAAATTAGAGATTTATGTGCCGCCGGCGGTTGAAAAAAAAAAAGATAGAAGATCGTCTCGACGTTGGTGAAGCGACCCAGCAAAGGATAAAATCACTCACTCAAATCATTTTCTGGCGCAAAAAATCAGCAGATAAGTGCGAGTAATAAGAAATGATAATTATTTTTGGACTCTTGCCGGAAATAGAGAAGAAAGTGTTTTGGTTATGAGATGAATTTATTCTTAACACAGTTGTAGAGAAATTGTAATAAATATCGAAGAGGAAAGCTTTGTTGGAGACAATATTGCCGATGATTATGTAAAAATGAAAGCTAAAATTGACAACTAAATATTTAATGGATAATGATGATTATGTAAATATTCATTTTATGCGAGAGGAAAATTATTATATAATAAAAAAAATATATCTTAGATAAATAACAAGATGAAATAAAGAAACTATTTTTAAATTTAAAAAGATTGGTTCTTCATCATTTCTGATGAACACTGTAACAAAATATTTATCCAACTTTTGAATTTCTATCTCTAGTAGTTATGGATCACTAAGGTCAGACTCGAAACGTCTTGAATGAAACAAAACAAACGTGAAAAAAAAAATATCCAAGGATCTTTTTCTAACTGTCTAGGATGTTGGTGGTAGAACGGAAGTAACTTCTGTCCATCGTATACTTTTTGTTTGGATCTAGAGGAAAAAACCTCATGTCTTTGTTTGAGTTGATTCGACGAGACAACGAAGACGCGTGTCTCCCACGATTATAAGCAACACACTGTTTCTTTTCTTTCTTTTCTCGTTCCACATTTTTTTTTCCTATTTGTCTTTCCCCTGTCTAAAGCATCGTTCGAATTTTCGCGCGACAACAATTTGTCAGGACGCCAGAGAGAAAGAAGACGGGAGCTATCGCTGGCAATCAATTACGAGTTTCGTAATCTCTGTCCCTTGAACACGACAAACGTCTTATTTTTTTTCTTCCCTCTTTCCTGTCCACTATCTTTATATTAGTTTTTGCGTACGAGAAAATTAATCACTTAAATAAATGACGCAAATTACTAATGTATATAACACTCATAATAACGTAACATTTTCAACAGCTACAAGATTAAAAAAAAAAAAGGTATGAAAATAAATTCATCATCTTGACATTAAAAACACTATTATTCATCATGCCGATACTCAATATTTTATTTCTAAAAAATGTATTTCTCAAACAAGCCGAGTCCGTAATTTGCATTATCATATAATGACGGGGTAGTTTAATACAGTTTGCGTGTCTTGAGATCGGAAAAATCGTTAGTGACTCATGGGAAAAGCTTAGGACGTGGGTGTCTACCTTGTATCGATCCGGTTGTGGTAGGTCTCGGTGTCGAGAGGGAGCGCCGTCTCTTATCCCAGTTCAAGGATGAATTTCAAGGGCGCCAGCCCTCTCTGACCGCGTGTACTACGCCACACGTTTTTCTCGTCCTGACTATCAAGAAAAGATAAACGCAGGATAAGAAAAAAAAATGATGACGATTTGGATCCAACACGACATGACATGATGATATTTTTTGATTCTCTTTAATTTAATATATCATTCCAAAATTCTTCTAATTCACGAGATAATTAATTTCATCATTCCAGAAGTTTATAAATTAAATTCATTTCCAAAGAATCTCAATTCAAGTTGCGCATTTAGTTGAAATAGTTGGAGTCCAATTTATGTGAATTAATAGACCAGAAAACCCGTTTGTATGTTTGCGGCGAGATAGAGAGACAGACATGATCTAACATCGCATCCAGTAAACTACAAACTTCCGTTGCGACCGTCTTCAAAGCTACCACTTTAAAATTTAATCAACGTGCTTTGAAGATCCCTTAGGAGTCAAGATATTGTATTACTTAGCAACTACCTCGTGACGTCCGGTATGCTAGAGTGAACGGGATACAATTTCCTGAAATTAAGGGACTTCACCCGAGTGTCTTCCTGTTTTATATCCACAGCGATCGATTGACTAAATAAATGTTTTACGATCCTCCAAGTACTTCAAACAACATCAGTAGGAGGATAGAAAGGATGCAGGAAAAAAATAGAGAATTATTGTTGCAACGACAAACCTTAAGTTACGATCATGACCCACCACTATCTTGCCATTTCCATCGATTCGAAACGGAACCTACTGCGGAGGAGTATTTATTGTATCGAGACGTTCTGGGCGCGATTCAATTTCGATTCGCTCCAAGAGATACCGTCACTCTCGGTAAGTCATAGTCTCAGGAGACATGGAAAGTCTTGAGTTGGAAAACAAAGGTGTTCTTGGACTTGCTGACGTGTAAGAGGGTGAGAAGATTTGAGGAAAGTAGTAGTACCTTGTATGTTTGTTGTCCGGGGAAACTGGCGTCAATGTTTGCTGAGAATTCGTGGGCCGAGAGACAACGTGACTCGTAAATCATGTTGGTTGATACTAGACAGAGAATACACCTACGAAAAACCCAAACATCGTGCATCACACAATCCCTTGAGATTATTCCAATACAACTTGATACTCTTGTCTTTCATTTGATATTTTTATTTCCATTTTATTTCTTATTTTCAAAGCCAACAGCAGTTGGTGAAATAGAGCCAATTTTAGGTGAACTGCATTGGTATTCCAAGCGTAAAGAGCAACCTTTGCATTTCGAAATGCGCAGAAAGCAAAACAACAGCAGGAGAGTACAAAGCCACACCCTAACTATTGGTGATACAACCCTATTTGCTGTACAACGAACACGTCAGGACTTTCGCATCAGGGGTGAAAGCTAACGTAACTCGAAGGGTAGCAAAAGATTTTTCTTGCACGAGTAAAATATCTGTGTGTTCTATGTTTTAGTTGTAAGCCTTGCTCTCTTTCATTTTACTCATCTACTTTTTTTTTTGAATTGCATAAAATGCATATAGGCGTTTTTAACCCTTTTTTATATTCCTTTTTTTTTCACCTCACGCGTATAAATAGAACTGCGAGTTTTTCTCTATAAAAACACACTTTTTTCCTTCTACTCATTAAATGCGTTGAATATTTTTTTCCTGGCGTTGGAATTTCTTTAAAAAATGGAGTCAAATAAATTTAATACATTTTTTTCTTTACTTTACCTGATAACAACTACTCATAAAAAAGGTATATAATATAAAAGGTTTAATGTAAATGAACAAGAAAAAAGAAAGTATGTGATATACCAAGGGAAATAAGACCTCTATAGGTCGTCAGTGCCTTTGTCAATTACTAAATGAAGCATACCTTGATATGATAGGAGTTGAGCTTGGTCCTGGGTAGGCTGTTAAAAGCGCTGAAGTCCAGACGACGAGAAAAGATGCCATTAGCACCACAGCTTTGCCTGAAAAAAAAATGATTAGCTTTAAAAAGTGATACTTAAAATAAATGACTTTCATATCAAAAATAGACACATCTTATTATGATTAAATTAAAATATACCTAAACCAATATCACCATATCAAAAAAATGTAATTAATTATTGTAATGAATTCAAAGATAATAAAAAAAAACATTGTGGAAATAAAATAATTATCTAATGCCTTCATAATATATATTATCCTTGGAGAACTAACAAATGTAATAATGGAAGTTATAAGGTATTGTTTCCTAAAAAGCTACTATCTGAGAATCAGGATATTTATTATTAACAGAAAAGAGGGTTTATTTACTTGATATAAGTTTTGCTTCAAGTCGCACAGTTTAACTGGAAAAACCAGAGCACGAGACGTCAAAGTCTACAGACGTCACATGTCAAACATTTGAAAACGTTTCTGATCCCTTTTATATTTTCTTTTGTTGTCAAATGTCTTACGTGACCTTACCCTTTTTTATGATGATAATAAAAATAAAAAAAGGAATAAAAATGTAGAGGAATGTCATGAAAATTCAAATGTTTCGTTTGAAAGCAATAAATAAATTACCTTGATAACATCATCGATTCGTTTATTTCTTCGATTAAAAAGTAATTGAGTTCAAAATGATTTTAAAAAATAAATTCCACCATTCAGATAAATTTATGTAAATTAAAAAAAATTAAATTCTATTGGTTATCAAGTAAAATTATTCACTTGATTCGATAATTGTTATTTACGAGATAAATTCAATGACATTATTGTGTTTGTGATGACACACGTGTGAATGAAGTCATGGCATAGGAAATATGACCATCACCTTGGCCTTAGTTTTAAGCAGCCAGCTATTTTTGACAATGTCAAGTTTTGGGGTCATCAAAATATTGCGATTGCCATACTTAGTAACACAAGTCCAAATAGAACGTGACTAGATCAATAATTAAGCAGACAATAAATTGACCTTGTTCATATAAGCCCGCATGTATTTTGCATGAAATCAGATGAATAATAATTATTGGAAAAAAATTAGTATTTGTTTTGACACTGGCTTGTGAAGCAGAATATATTAATAATCAATGAATTTATTATACAACCGAAAAATTTACCTTTAAAAAAAAAGATAAAACAGACGTAAAAACGTCGTCTTCTTAGTTAATAATGTTAATATACTGCTCAAAATATTCTATAGTCAAATTTATACACCGGAAACCGGTTTCGAGGTCGACTCGGGCGTTATCAATTAGAAGCAAAAAATATTCACCAACAACTTCAAGTGAAATAAAACGTTTTTTATAAAGGCAAAATTACTTAAACAATTTCTGTGGACCTGGAGAAAAAATTTTATACCAACCGAATCAATAAGAAATGTTTTTTTTATAATTTTATGTATTTTAGAAAGCTAAAAAAACCAACTCTATATGGTTTTAAAAGATTAGAGCTAAAAAAAAAGATCAATTCAAAACTAAATTTTTAATCCGAATCTTTTGGTCAATGTAGGATCTTTCCGGCTCGAATTTATGTCATGGTTCGCAAATCCATGTCGAAGAACCGGCTCTCGGTGGGCCTGTTGGGTACCAAAAACAGGTTTTGTGATTTTGTATCGTTCGTTTTGCAATAGGATTTTTTATTTTCGTTTTCGCATCCTCTTTTCGTTTGTTTCCAACTGGATTGGCTTCTTGAGAGGTAGGTTCAGTTCAGGAAAATAAAAAAAATTATGACCGAAGGCTAAATACGTAAGAAAAAGGAATTCCAATGTAGAATTATAAGAAAAATATTTCTAACCGATTGCATGATACACAAAAATAACGGATCGTTTCTTGACGTTTCTGAAAAAGCGCGCGCCTACTCATCGGTTTTATCTCTTTGACTTTTATAATGCAATATAACGACTACGTGAGATATATAAATCGTCAGTCCAGGCCATACCACCATCACCATTATGAGATCCAACTGAGGTATAAGCAGGAAAAAGTAAAACACACCTTCTTCAAGCTGACTGTATGCTAATTCAAATCCAACAAAACATTGCCCACAGCGAGTGTTATGTTTCTATACCTCACCATATTTTATTTTTCAATCTTTTTACAGCTGAGTAGATGCGAAACGTGCGTGATCAATCGTCCATCCATCTAGTCTTAAGATATACTTGGTTTCTTACGCTATTCATGTTCATTAAATCTTCGTGTGGGCGCTGATACAGATATACAGTAATCGATAGCGTTAGCTATCGATCAAAATGAGTCACGAACTAACTCTATATCAGTGATAACGATCGGTATAACTTTAAATATTCAAAACCACTTCTTATAATATCAATGTGTGAAAAATATATTTTTTTACATTATGAACATTTTGATTACTCGATTACGATAAAAACGATTGTATTGATTAATATTATCAATAGAATACTTATAACAAGTTTATTCTGCTATTTGTTTTATTAATAATATCACTTTTTATAATTAATTTTTTTTCTTATATTTTTTTTGTTTTAATCATATCGTGCTGACTGTACGCTTCGGTATATAGACAAGTGTTTTGAACGTAATCTATTTTAAGCGATAAAGATTGTATTTGGATGGATAGTTTGAACAGATCTTATCTAAAGAGAGAAAAAAAAGAGAATACATGTTAAACAAAAAATTTTAATTTGATGAAAAAATCGATATTGGAGTAATTATTTTAGTTTAATGAAATCACTATTTTTATGTTAAAGTTAATTAATTATTAAAAATAAAATCCAAAATAGGAAATGATTTGTTTGAAGTTATTAAAATGTATTAATATGAATTAAAACATCAAATGTAAATTTTATAATCTCCCATGGTGTTGATTTTACTCAAAAAAAAAAATGAGGATGGAAATAATAAAAAAAAACGTAATGCTCCATTGATGAAAAAGATTAAAAAATATTAATCCAGATTATGTTAATTTAAATCAAAAAAACTGAGATATTATTTATATTTAACTGTTTACGTGGCAGAGATTGACACACATATCAACTTTATTTGGTCGAGCCTCCTGTATATAATAATATAACACATTTTAACAGCCTAATAACAACGTTGTTTTTCGTTAGAGAGTATTTTTGCGCAGTTAGAAGGCGTGATACCGTGATGACTCAGATGCCCTTCCGCTTAGAGTTTCAATGCCAAAGGCAATATGTGTGGTGTATGTGTACCTTCCAGACAAGTCTCCCAGCACATGTTCGTGCCTACGATGTCTCATCAAGCAGAGGAACTATTACGTCCAATCAACTAAACCCCAGCAATAACTCTCGCGTGCCGTTAATCTCACCAATCATTATACAAAACTTTAATTTTACTTCAGTAAAATCGATCAGTTTATTTATCGAAAGTGAAATGTGTATTCAGAAGAAAATTATTTTCTCGACTATTTTGGAGTATTTTGTTGTTAGGATTGAGTATATATATATATATAAAAAAAAGAGGAAGTCAAACAACGGATGATTAAAAAACTTCCCTTTAATGTATCTATCCCTCGGAAGTCGACGTCGCGTGGCGAGAAAATTATACGAACCTCTGGCAGCGTGATTGTGGCATGACGTATAGCCTCAAGCAACTTGAACGGGTTTTTAATGATCTTTTCTCTTGTGAAGACAAAGAAAGAATTCTTCTCTTATGTAATCATATTTTTTTTCGTTGGTTATTTTATATTTTACGATGTTTGGATTCGATTTGAAATAACGAAAAGAAAAAAACGCGCTAAAATCTGTAAAGTTGAGTAATAACACTAGTGTAATAGGAATAGTACATATAAAGTGTGTTACTCAATTTATTTTACACGTACGAAATCATTTTATCAGTTGATGAACAAATTTATTTTGCAATTTCAAGGTATTCCATGCCTATTTCTTCGGAGATTATAAAATCACATTCACTAATCAAACAATTTATCGAATTTATTTCGAAAATATACAATTTTTTTTGTCATTTCTTCCATAAATATACAAGACTTTTTCTGATTTATTATATTAAATATAAGGAGTGAATCGTAATTTTTCCTGGTCGGAAATTCTTTAAAGTCTATGAAGCACGTAATTTCCTAACACATCAAATTATATAATATAAAATTATTTATGGAACTAAAAATAAAAAGGTTATAAAACATTACGAGAACAAAAAAAAAACCACACACCTTATAGCGTCTTATAACCACTGAATCTCCTTTCTCCATCGCCTAACACGCATATCTAGCAAAATGCTAGAATGAAGAAGGAGTTACGACATTTTTTCCTTCGCGAAATAGACCCAAGAGCTTCCCCGAGGCTACTAACCCTTTTATACTTTAGGAACGTGATTCATAATTCAATGCAGTAATTTTGCTCAGCACTTCTCAAGTAAGAAAACAACAAAAAATCTCTCGAAAACAAAAAATAGACATGGCCGGATAAGAGGAGAAAGAAGTGGCTTGGATGATGGTAAGTGTAAAAAAATGGCCTTCAAATAAAATTTATGATTCACTTCACGAATTACTTAAAGAAGACGTGATACTGGTACCAAAACAATTGATATAAACCAGCTGCTCTTGATTCTCACAAATTGTTTCAATGTACAGTCCATCGACTATCGATTGTACTACTTGAGCAAATTGAATTGAACATTTTCTCAAGTCATTTCTTTTTATAGATCAACATTTGAAGAAAGTCTGAGGAAGAACGCGAGTCACAGGTGTTCAATAACAGAAGGGAAATGGATAATGAAAGAAATAAACAATAAGCATAATGTCTAGACAATAGACCAGGATATCCGGTCAAATGTACGTAGTCTCGAAGGACACTAAGTGACAAGACTGTGATAATAAATACCTAGGTAAACTAAACAAAGTGAATACGAAGTAAGCAAGAATGAACGAGAGATAAGAAGAGAAAACGCGAGACGAACGCAAATTAAGTGACGACGTGAGTACGTTTATTCTGTGTTTCTTCTTCCTCTTCTGACTCTATTCATTTTCGAGAGGATCGACAACG